TTATTTATATATATTTAAAATTGAGTGCTTTGATTTTGGTACCCCGGAGACGACGGGATACATATGCTGAGAGAGAGAAAGAGACTGTTTTCTCTCTGACTCATTTGTTTTATTTTCTCCCCCACTCTCTTCGCTTCTCACTTCACTCTTTCCTCACATCTTTTTATTTTTAATTTTTATTCAATTCTTTATACGGCTTTGGAATCAAACAAATTCAAGTCTCGGACCGTAGATTGTTCAACTACTAGGTTGCACTGAGACCGATACGGAGACAAGAAACGGGGACGGACACCGGGACCGAAAACGGTAATACTAAAAATTTATGGATACGGATACGGTAGAGATACGTCAATAGATATATATAAAAAATACCTATGAATACATATAAGAAAATTACATCATAAATCTCAGTATAAAAGAACACTCAATCAATATAAGAATTAGATTTATTTTGACGTTAACAATAGAGCTTAAATTACAAGAAAAAAATGTACTAGAGATAGAAAAACATACGATGATCAGAGTAACATAAACCTTGTTGACTTGTAAAGAGTCAAGAATCGAGACTATTTAAAAAACGAATGTCGATTATATGTGAGATGTATAATAAATTTGAAACCCTATTTCATAATAAATTTTTTTATGTTATACATTTTATTTTCATTTTTTTNNTNAAAATAATAATTAATATATATAACAAACAACGAAAACACTAATTTTTAACATAATACGTTTGAGAAACGTCTCTAAATTCGAAAAGTTTCGTCTCCGTTAATTGTCAACGTCCCTAACATGTTAGAGTTATCTCGGAGACGTTTCGGTGGTGACTCCGAGCCATACCCGTCTCTAGGATGTTTTCGGTACGGGAGACGGCACGAAAATAAAGTACCCGTGCTTCATAGTTCAACTATACCTAAAGAGATAAATATACATTAAATATCAGTACGTTATTGAGTTTATGAATAGCTTGTATATAGACTTTACCCCCCCAAAAAAAGAATAGCTCGTATAGACATTTAGTTCATCGAGATATGTACACTATAAAATCAACTGGTTACTTGTTTGACTGATTTGTGAAGTCGATTAGAGCTAAATCAACGTTATCAACCACTTTAAACATTTTTTAACTGATACTTATTATGAATTATTATTTTACTTATGTGTTTTTTTCGTATCTTCGCTTTTTAATTATGTACATTTTATGCATCCTCTTGTTTGTACTATTTTATAAGTGATATATTTACATTCACATTTTCCTCCACATTTTTATGTGTCTTTCTGTGTTTGCATATAATTTTACTAAGTAATATCGAGTTTACTTCATTATTCGGAGCTTGTTAAATTTTCGTTACATCCACAAGCTCCATTCTGATGCATTTTGTTGTTTTCTCACACTTTTGATTGGAATGTATACTTTGTTTTTGCCTTACAAAGGTAGGAAAAAAGTATTGTCTTACAAAGTGTACCTTTCTGTTCAAATGCC